AGGAGGAAATGAGGAAGAAGCGGTGGAAATGGATAGGACACACTGCGGAAAAACACCTAACCGCGTCAAGGAAAGCCCTCACATTGAACCTCAATGTGAAAGAAAAAGAGGAAGGCGAAAGAACACATTACGCCGAGAAATAAAGAGAAAGGCATGAGAAGAATGAACAAAAACTAGAAAGAACTAGAAAGGGAAGCCCAGAACAGAGTTGTTGGAGAAAACTGGTGTGCGGCCTATGCTCGATTGGGGGTAACAGGCGTAAGTAAGTAAGTAAGTAATCTTGACGGAATCATGAAAATGGGTTTTCGGTACTTGAGCTTCTACGTCTTCGACTTGAGAGAAAATAGGATCTGACTTGTTTCAGTAAGAAAGTAAAAATTTGACAAATTTTGGATATTTACAAATCATGAATTTAGCTTGTCCATCGTTTATGAATAAAAGTCCAGGGCTTTAAACTGCGATTCATTTAAATGATAGAAGATTTTGACGTTACACAGAAATGGAAGAAACTCATGATCTCAGACCAATCTTATCTGTAAACAAAGTTAATTGTTCATTAAACAATAGTATAGTGATCTGATAGTGCTCGCTGACCTATTTTACAATAAAAAATTTTAGTTGACCTACACCATTTGTAACCATTGTTCATTCTACTCATCAACTTCATAGTTCATTTTAGGCGAATATTGTAATTCTTACTCTGCCAACTTTTCTGTACCATTAATTTGAAATATTTATTACATCCTGTTATTTGAACTATTTCAATCTTGATGTCTTCTTGAAATCTTTCATGTGATCTTGAAGTATTATGTTTTTTTACTGAGATATTTACACTGACTGGTCAAAAAATAGTAACCATTATTATTATTTGTTTAATCCTGAATGTTGATTTTGGAGTACAAAACTTGAAGGTAACAACTGTTCAAAGATCAATATATTTAAGTAGTTCACAAGTGTTGCTCATACATCGTAAACCTAACTGTTTATAAACAGAGAACTTTAATATTTTATTATGAAGTTAAAATCCACTTATATATTTGATACCACTAACTAGAATATCGACTAATATGTACAAATATATGTGAGGAAACCGATTCATCCTTTCCAAGAAATGATGGCGGCATACTTTATTGATGTAAATTCAAACAAATACAAAACATTTAGCATTTGAAATTATTCAAGTCAGATAAACCAAAATCTTTAGGTCATTATTTAGCGACTAATGTCATAACCTTTATAGTCGGCAGATTTTAGTATAGTTCGTAAAATTACAACAAAAAATAAGATTAAAACGTCCATTATTGAACATATCATAAAGCAAAAAACTTACACTCTTTTTCTCAATATTTGTTAAATCTGCTTCTGTTTTCTTACTATTTTCTTCAGTCAATTCAGTAGGTGGCTTTGATTTATGTTCATTATTGTGATTGTGTTCAGGTAATTTGTTATGAGGTTGATCGTCATTCTGTTCGATTGATTTATTTTCAGCTATTTTTGTTTTACTGACTTCGTAATTTGGATGCTGATAACGATGTTGATGAGAATGCTCTTGATAATAATCTTTTTCAGTTGCATCTTTTTTATCAGGAATTTGTTTTCTATCAACTTCTTCATCTTTGCGCTCATCTGATCGATTTGGTTTCACCTTGTCACTAGGTTTTTCTTCTGATTGAACTGGAGTTTCATGACTGTGTTTAGTATCAACATGACTAGCTGGAACTACTGTTTGAGGTGAAGCAGATTTCATTGACTGATGAAGGTAATATTCTTTCGGTTTTGACGCATAATCTACATTCAATGGTCGATCGTCTGGTTGGTGTAAGTGAGCATCCAATACATGTGGATGTTCATCAGTCATTCGTTTATGTTCATGATTTTCTTGATGATCTGGTTTTTCCGAATGATGTGGTATGTTTTGTGGATTATGATGATAATGATGATCATGGTGATCATAACGATCATAATGTCGTGGTTGAGTTTCATGTCTTCTGTCATTCTCTCGATGATGGTCACGATGATGAGTTCCATATGGGTTAGGGTATGAATGACCATGTTCGTTATTGTTGTTATCACGATGTGTTTCTGGTTGGTAATCGTCATTTCTGTGACTCACAGATAATATTATCACAATTTGTGAAAATACTAGCGTTAATGAGACTAAATTCATCATGTATAGTTTCATCTTCTTTAATTATTGTCTTTAACTCTCGACTTAGTCACACACCACTTTTGAATTAGAATAAATTTAAATAATCATAAAATATATTAGACATTCGAACTGCAAAAATGAAAATGGTTTTGATTATAGTAGTTTCATTTGTTTTTGTCCAATATTTATTAATCTTGTAGACTATTTTCAAATCACATGTTCTGATCAATGGATAAGTGCACTTGCTCAAACAATGTGCCTTTTATTTTTCAAGAGAATAGATTTAAAACTAATTTATTGCAAAATTCAAGCTGAATTTTATTTCAATTTGAAAGAAGAGCAGGGATAATTTAAACTGAATTTTTTAATTTTTCCTATAATATATTTTAGAAATGAAACTTTATCAGTTGAGGAGGTTGGGACATGTGTTACGTATGCCCAACGACCGACTACCTCGTCGAGCTATGTTTTGTGATGTAGAAGTAGGTTGAGAGAAAGCTAGGAGCGGTCAGACCGAAACATGTTTGAAATCCATGAATTCACTAACAAGGAGACTGGGTCATGTTGGTAGATGTAGGTTACCTAGTTGGGGTCCGCGAGACGAAAGTCCATGATGGTTAGGGACCTTAGAACGACATGGCTCAAAATTGCTTGCAATGGCGCAGGTGCATTCACTGAGTTCTCTCAAATTCTAATCTTCTGAAATCCTCATCACCTTTATCTTTTTCTTTTAAGTTTATTTCACTAGATTCTACTTCTGGAATAGTATCTTCGAACCCTTATCTCTCCGATTACTGCTGATACTTCTACTACCTCTACCACTATGGGATTTGAAGTGACAATCGCATCTCTGTATTAGCGTGGTATGGCAACATGAATTGATGTACTTACTTACGAAGTTCTACGTTGTAATTGACTGACTAACTGAGATTATTTTAAAGAGTTTCCATAGTTTGTGATATACACTTATCAGAATGACAAGGACTCAGATGTAGCAACATTTACAGTATAAAATTTTCACATGCAGTTCAACTAACGTATATCTACAATTCATTCCATTCCGTAATATGAACGGAACACTGAAATTAATTATTCAGTTTTTATCATTGTGGTGTTTCGTTCTCTGAGCTAGATGTTTCAGTTCATCATCCATGTGAGCTATAAATTTTCTCCAGCATCTCAGTTTTCATCGGAAAAAAGAGAATGTTCACGAATTTGAAAGTACACAAAGGAACAGAATCTGTGATCCCACTTTCTTAATTCTTCAGAAATAAATTTCAAGAATCATTAGGGAAAATTACTGATGTTCTTTTTGGGTTATGAAGATTAGATTCGTGTGCGACAGAACAGAAACCAAATCAATTTGATCAAGATGGTCTTTAAAATTCTATGAACAAAATTTATTTAGGAGTTTAAAACATCATGCTTTATCTTGGTAGAGAACTTTTGATTCCCTTGCGACAAGTTGAATCTATAATCGCATAAAGACTATGGAGAAAATTCAATAATGTGTACTAATATTCTTTTCAAGAAACTGAAATAAAATATTTGAACACATAAACCTATTTGAGGCTGATCAATAACAAAATAACAACATCAATATAAAGAGCTTTTTTGGCATTTATTGACCACTTTATTATCTAAAAGAAGTAGAGCATACTATGTTCAGTACTAATTTCTGCATTTTTAAAGACTTCTCAACAGTATGTATGGTTGACTACACACAAGATCGAGTACTTAGTGCTCTCAAAATGCATGAAAGTTATCGAATAAAAATTCAGCGACTAAGAGTTCCAGATTAAATTAATTTTTTATATAATGTTTTGATTGAGTTACTGTTTCAGTTGTCTACTTGCTTAACTCTATGATTGTATCCTAAGAATGCTTCAAATACTTAGCTGAAATTTCATAAGTACTGAGTTAAGATAAATGTGAGCATGTCTATTCTTCAACCAGAGTGATAAACAAAGATTTATTAGACTTAATAAGTTATTCTCTGTAATAATTCAAGCTGACATTTATTGAAACTGATTCCTTACTTTGCATTATAAGAGCCTGAATACGTTTAAAAAAGTATGTTCATTGGATCGTGTTTAATTATTAAATATGTTATAAATGAATGAACAAATACTTATCTATGCCTTTTACCCTCAATAAAGCATGCGCAGCCGACCAGTATTCTGCAACTTACATTTTCTTCTGCATTCCTTTCAAATTTAACCAAATACTATTCTTATTTTTTCAAATCTATCTCCAATTCGTTGCTTACTGTGTACTTCGGTCTTCTTCTTTAACTCTGGCCTTGAGGATTTCAGTTCGTGGCTTGCCTCGTGATGCAGTCTGGTGATTGCTGCAATATGTATCCTATCCACCCCCAGTTCTTTCTCCGATTTTATTCCTCACCCTCTGCCTTAAGCGTTCTAGGGTAGCGATTGCCTAGTGGCGAAGTTGAATGATTTAGTGATGTATATCCTATCTACTTCCAAAAAGTTTCCTTAACTTTATTTCCTCATCTAGAAGCTGGCTTGTTATTAAATATTTCAATAAGTTTCGCCAACCATATTATCGGTGAACGATCACTTAGTCAATGCTGAAATACTATGAGATAAATTTTTTAAATCCGTATCGGAATGTTGTTGTTTAAGCTTATTTTTAGCGAAAGTATAGTGTAGGACTGAAATCACAGTAACTGCAAATAATTTTTAGCCAGTTATTAGTAAACTGAAACAAATCCTTTATGAAGAAGGAAACAATAATGTTAGAAAGGATGAGTAGCATATAAATATTTGGTTAGGAATTTAGAGTAAATGTAACAGGTTTAGCGTTAAGGTTTTCATTACATGCTGACATCCACTATAAATGAAGTGAAAGAAAGAAAATCCAATAATTTCGGTGTAATTAGTTCATCTATAATAAAATGTAGTACTACCATGTTATGAAATATTTCAGGATTACGAGTTTATAGTTAGGATTTAAAGGTATATTGATATGGTGGAGAACATTTGTAGCTCAGGTGGAACTTTGTTCTCTGAGCTGAATGTTTCGGTTGTGGAGCTTTCATTGTTCTTCTTCTGCACAACATCATCAGCACAAACTTCAGTGAAGTATTCGAATTTTTTCACGTTCGACCTGCTGCTTATTCTGTTAACTTCGACCTACTACTGGTAATACGTGATATTTGAATTTCAGGAAGAACTCCAAAGCCATGTTCCAGGTTCTGATTAACTCATCCTTATAAAATACTATGACCTTATCCTCTACGCTTTATAACACCCAGCTACAGTTCGTTTTTCCTGAAACTTTCACATAAAGTGCATTTTTTATAATTTACTCATCCTGATTTCTCTTTTCTAAATTATAATAATAAAGATGTGCTTCAGCTGAATTTCACAATGAAAAGAAACTTTCCTATCTAATTACTTTTCATTTTCAATAGTAGTATATATGGTCTGCAAGTTTTTGAATGAATATAAGTCACAGCTAGTGGTTTATATATTACTTTTAATTTTAAAATTTCAGTTTAAAACAACTTTGCATCGATAAATTTCATACAATCTGTGGAAGAAATTAAAACTAAACAGTAAATAATGTGAACAGGTTTTTTAGATTTATTCTATAAAATATCAGTTGAAATTTTATACTCAGATGATACTACTTGTAAGTACCATCTTGATTACTGATTGAATTATATCGACGTGTTGTAGTGTTACCAAAAAAATCATTCATACAGTAATCTAGTAACCGAATCATTGACTAGAGACATGCTTATCACGTCACAATTCAAAATAAGTGAAAAACTATCTATCGTAAGTAATAAGTCGATATAGAATACGATGAAGATATCGTCGTTTATCGACGGCCTCATATTCTTCAAAATTCATAGGTGTTTTCAACAGATTGCATACGACTTGAAAACGTCAAAAATGATTAGTTGAACAGAATACCAAGAGCTTATTTCATTTTGTTTAGTTCGCATCAACTACTAACAACCTGAAATCTTTCAGAATCACTAATATGAAAAGAATTCAACATGCTCAATAGAAAATTTCTGGAAAATTGATCAATAACAAGGTAGAGAAAAAACAAACAAACAAGAGGGTGTCATAAAATAATCAAATAATCTATTATTACAAACTCGTAATAATAGTAATAATTAGAAATCTCATAAATTATGCTCAGTTAGTTAAAATGTTACAGTAGGAATAGGAAAATAAACCTTATCGATAAAACCTCAGGGAATTTATCACGATAGCTTGAGTAAATATCGAAAAAAGGAACTAGTGATTGGATATCATCTTGGAGCATTCCTATTTATCTAACTCAATTCCTGTGTCGATGAAATGATTGGAACTGCTACTTGTAAAAGTTTTGATTCTTTTATCAACAAAAAAAACACACACTGTTGAAACATGCTAATGAAATCTAATGTAGATAGTAAGCTTTTATTTCCACTCTACCAATGTAATTGATTAAGTATATGAATTGAAAGTGCAAATCTCAATAAAATGAATCAATATTACTCATCTCAAATCGTTGTACTTATTGTTTTCAAACTTACGAAATACAACTATGCGTATGAAGCATCCTAATACTATCAACAAATATTTAAAGTTTACGATATCCATGGAGTTTGTGAAGCAGACATGTATTGAAGTGTTGTAAATATTACTAAGGACTGAGAACAATGCATTTCAGCTGATACATTCGGTAATTTGTTTTTACAACTAACTAACTTACGCCTGTCATTCCATAATGGAGCATAGGCCAAGGACTAGCATTCGCTAACTAACTCTGTCCTGGGCCATCCTTTCCAGTTCTACCCAACTGTTGTTCAATTTTTTGATGTGTGCTTCCGATTCTCAGCGTATTGTGTCCATTGGTCTTACTATTTTTCTTTTGTCATTGAAGATTCCAAGTGAGGGCTTGTCTTGTGATGAGGTTGGATGATTTTCATGATGTGTATACTACGCAAATACAGGGCTTTTACTTCATTTTTCTTCACCTGAAATCTGATTTATTCTTTTACACAAGGGGTTGTTGCTGATGATCTCTGTCCTACATATCTTCAGTATCTTGCGTAGACAACTATTTTTACAGTTTACTGAGTAATTATTTCAAGATTTTCATTTTTTTAGTATTGATTTTTTTGTTGTTAACTAA